GTCACCAAAGTCTGTAGGGATTGAAAACAAACTTCTGTTTACTGGAGCACTATTATGAACAGACCATTCTAATACTCCACTTTTTTTGCAGTTGATTCTCATTCTGTTATCAACTGCCCATTTAGAAATTTTTCTGATCTTATTTGCAAGATCATTATTGTTATTTCCAAAGACTACAATGTCATCAGCAAACATCAGTCCTGGAACTTTTGTATTTGATTTAGGAATCAGGATACCTTCTATGCCTTCAAATATATCATTAATGAATATATTGAATAGCATTGGAGAACAAGGGCAACCTTGTCTTACTCCTTTTCTGTAGCTATAGCCACTTGATGTTTCACCAGCAATTTTTACTTGCATGGTTGTATTTTTATAGATATCCTTTATCGTATTGATAAGATACTTAGGGATATTAAGTTTTTCTAGCTTTTTGAATAATAAGTCATGACAGACATTATCGTAAGCTTTCTCAAAGTCTATAAAACACAGCACTGTGTTCTGTCCTTTGAATTGTCTTCTTCTTACTATTTCTAGTAAAGAAGTAATCTGATTCATGCATTCTTCACCTTCTCTGAAACCAGCTTGGTATCGAGAGATGATCTCATTTTCCTCGACAAATTGAGTCAATCTGTCATTAATTATCTTGAGATAGATCTTACTAATTGTGTTAATTAAAGAGATACCTCTATAATTATTCAGATCTGTCTCATCGCCTTTCTTATGGAGACATACCATGTTAGCCATGCTCCAATATTCTGGAGTACTATCTCCATTAATGTACTTATTAAATCCACTTAACATGAATTTAAAGTAATTGCTTTCTACTTCATTTATAAGTAGATGTTTGTATAGCTCGGTGGGAATTTCATCCGGCCCAGCAGCTTTGTTATTTCCACATTTCTTTAATGCAGATAGTAATTCTTCTTCTGAGATTTCTGGTGGTATCTCAGTAAGATCTTTTTTATTGTAGATTGATAAATCTACATTGTTTTCTGATGCTAGAGTAGCATAAAAGTTGTTTGCTATTTCTAGCTTTTTATCTTGACAAGTCTGTAGTAGCCCATTGTGATCTCTAAGAGATACTTGATCTAATTTAATAGACCCAGTTCTACTATTCTTCAGCCATTGCCAAAATTCTCTTGATCGATTGCTTTTAAAGAGTTTAACTCCTCTCAAAGCCCAGAGTTTCGATCTATCTTTCCGAATCAACTTCTTAGTCTCTTCTGCCCTTTCTTTGAAATACTCAAATCTTGTTGAGTTAATCTCATTATAGTTCTTCATAACAGCCTTTGCTGCTAGACGTTTTTGTTTGAAGACCTTAACATGTCTCCACCTCATTGGAAGTCCTCTAAGGACTTTTCTTGTTCTGTATATCTTTAAAGATATAC